CATGCAGCCAGGGCCAGTCCTACTTTGGACAGGAAACTGGCCAGATGAAAGTAGCCCCAGCTCCGTCTCCTTCCTGCCCACGTTGCTCCCCAGCCAGGGTCCAGGGTGCCTGCGGGTTGGAGGGGCTCTCCCAGACCAAGGGGCAGCGAAGGCCTTTGGAGCTGCTTTGTGCAGGGGAGTGAACTGCCCAGTGATGGGGCCTGGCTGCTCAGGGCAGGGACTCCCCACTCACCTGCGTTAGGCTCAGCTCCGTCTCCTTCCTGCCCACGTTGCTCCCCAGCCAGGGTCCAGGGTGCCTGCGGGTTGGAGGGGCTCTCCCAGACCAAGGGGCAGCGAAGGCCTTTGGAGCTGCTTTGTGCAGGGGAGTGAACTGCCCAGTGATGGGGCCTGGCTGCTCAGGGCAGGGACTCCCCACTCACCTGCGTTAGGCTCTGCCCGAAGTCTGGGGCTGACTCGCTGTCAGGGAGCGGCTTCTGGAAAGCAGAGATGGGCCTCAGTCAGTGGCACGCAGGGTCCCCCTCCACACCCACGCCCTCTGTGTGCAGCCTGCAATGGCCCAGGCAGCCCAGTGGCTGAAGGGGGGGAGGGCCCGACACAGCCTGCGGCCACTTGCTGGGGAGGGCAGAGCTCTCCCAGGCTACCCTGCAGGGCACAGGGTGTGTCCGGGAAGACCCCTAGCTCACACGGGCAGGCAGGCCTGCAGGAGTCCCGGGTCCCCCTCCACACCCACGCCCTCTGTGTGCAGCCTGCAATGGCCCAGGCAGCCCAGTGGCTGAAGGGGGGGAGGGCCCGACACAGCCTGCGGCCACTTGCTGGGGAGGGCAGAGCTCTCCCAGGCTACCCTGCAGGGCACAGGGTGTGTCCGGGAAGACCCCTAGCTCACACGGGCAGGCAGGCCTGCAGGAGTCCCACTCGGCTCGGATTAGTCGCCCGGCCTCGCTGCTGCTTTGCTCGTGGCGCTGCCCCTTGTGGGTCTGCCCCCCACGTAAATACAAGCCCAACCTCATCTCCTTGCCCAGCCAGCACCTACCTCCCGGGGCTGCACTACGTCCCCATGGCGGGAGTGGGGTGGATGGGCCAGTTCTGGGACTTGAACGCCTGACCTCAGACACGGCCCATCTAGACCCCACGGCACCGGAGTGGCCCCATAGCATGACCCCAGCTGACAGCCTCACTCATTTGCCAGGGTGGGACTTGTCTGGGGGCCAAGCCAGGTCCAGCCCCTGCTGTCAGCTTGGGGAGCTGCCTTCAGATCCGATGGTTCCACACTGCCTAGGGCCCAGATGTGAGGCCCGGCTCAGGGGGGCTGGCACAATTTCTGCAGGGGGAGGGGCTGAGAGCCAGTAAGCCGAACTCATACCCTTGTATAGAATGGAAAGGTAGGGGGTGTAGCTGCCCCCTCGCCCCAGAACCTAGCAGACTGCAATATGAAGCTAGCTGCTCTAGCTATGGGGAGAACCTGGGTTATGGGCCTCCCGCACATCTCTAGGAAGAAAAGAGCCGGCAGGAGGAGCTGTGATAGGTCCCAGCGCCCAGAACAGCAGCTGGGGCAGCATATTGGCCCCTGGCAGCAGAGTGCTGGGAGCTGGG